ATCAGGGGTCTGTTTAGACCCCCAATATTTCCCCAAAGCCCCTAAAAGTAAAGTAAAAAATATAAAAAATTAAATATTAAAAAAATATGTGAAAAAGATTTAAAAAAAAAAACATTTACTAAAAACCCACCTATGAATGAACTGGGAACTGCCAGCAGCTCAAAGATCCGCCTAAAGGACCTTATGCCCAAAGTTGCATCAGATGAGGCTTGTGCATCCACCTGGTAAAACTTGGAAAATGTGCAAACAGAATACCAGATGGCAGCCTTGCAAATCTGGGAAACAGCAGCCTGATGCCAAAGACCACAAGAGGCACTTACAGATCTGGTACTCTCACAGCCTAAACCAAATCCAGATAACTTAGGGAAATGTTTTAATGTATTGGATCCATAGGGACAGAAGAACAATGTCCCGTCAGATGGTCAGGTGTTAATGGTACAGCTGAATCGCCTTGAAGTTCTAGGATGTTAATTAGGAGACAAGATTCCTCCAACGTTCAAGTCCCCTGCACCAAAAGTGTAGAGTTAGGGATCACACCTTTTATGTGCTTTGACGCAGCAGTGTGGCGTTTCCATATATCGGCAGATGTATGTAACTAAAACCTCTCCTTTTAACCTCAGTAAGTAAACAGATGAGTTGATTTTTGTTGCTGGCTAACTATGGGAGAACTATGGGGTTAGGGCTTTTCCCCATCTGGACTGAAACTGGGCAAATTTGACTACCTCAAAGGAGGCCACCATCAGCCCCAGGATACTGATTCAGAAGTGAAGAGTGGGGTGACTCCTGCACTGAAGAGCATGAGTCTGTGTGCAGGGTTTAACGTTTTTCCTGTGGAAGACCCAGAAATTACAAGGGATGAGTAGGTTCCAGAGCTGATCTGTGAAGGTTTAGGATCCACACAAAACTCTGCAAGGTTTGAACAGTCAGGGCTATGCCGTATGCTAGATCTTAAGCCAACTGTAGGTTGTCTAGGTATCCCACAATTAGAATGTCCTGAGGATGCAGCAAAGCTAGGAGCCTTTATTTCACTCTCCCATTGTTCCATTCAGGGAGCCAAGAAAATACATAGAGGGGAATTTATCAAAACTGGAGCAGACAAAATGTGGAGTATTTTCTTTGGCTCCCTGAATGGAACAATGGGAGAGTGAAAAAAAGGCCCCTGGAGTCTTTCCTAACTCCACGGGACATGGCTGCTTCCTCTCTATTGTCCAAGGAGGTTTTTACTTCAGTTGAGCATGACTTTATAGGCCAAATATCACAGATGTTTATGGTGCACCAACTGCTCCAAGTCTTCTTTTACAAAGACTGGAAACAATCAGACAGGATGTTCATTTTACCCAACCGCTTATTAGCCAGCATTTTTACACTGGGAATGAATAGCCCCATGTAAGTTGCAACTCTGGGAAACGTAGCTTACATCTGGCTATGGCCTTCCTACATGATTGCGCTAATTGGTCTGGAGCTTTCAAATGCTCCTATATACCCAGAAGTACCAGTAATTCTCTTTGATACTGAACAGAAACTAAATATAAACTGCACTAGTCAGTGAAAATAATTCAATCAAAAGCATATAGAAATATTTTCCTAACTGCCCAGGTCTTCTGGTTTTCTTCTAGGTAGAGAAGGAGCAGTATTTAAAATCCAGACCACTGAAGATGAGTCACTGGCATCTTCTGCTTCTTTGATTTGTCCACCCTGATTTCCACAAAAACCAACAACAAAATCCTGTTGTTCTTCCTGCCCTGATGGATATCTGCTTTGGTTCTGCCAGCCAGAGAACCAACAGTATGGAACCCGAATGAACAAGGACATTCTTGATTCCAGCACAGCTACACCAGTTTCTGAACAGAGTTCCCACATCTATCACATTTAATAGGTTGCCTGTAACTGTTGATCTAATACCAGCAGCCAGAACCATCATTATTTTTATACAAGCCGTGCCTTCGATGAAGTATCTGGAAGGAGGAGAAGAGACGAGAAGTGTTTTCTGAACAAATAAAGGAAACCCTTGTTTGCATGCTGTCTGCCAGTCAGTCGTAAGCTAACCTGAAAAAATATACATCTAAAAAGGAATTCTGGGAATGCCTTCTTTAAAACAAGCCTGTCATAAGTCAAACGAAATGCTTTCCATTTTGAATTCCTCTTGAAAATCCAGTTCCTTGGCTGTCTGGCTTCAATGCTTTAAATTACTGACCTGAAACAAGGATGTAGTCTGTACAGTCAGACTAAAATCAGAACTTCTAATATGAATATGACTGCAGTGCAACCCTAAAAGAAGGCTATTAACCACCTCCTGTCCGCCGAACGTTGAAAACAGCCGGACGGGAGTCTTCTGGATGCGGGCGGGCGCCTTTAGACGTCCTTTGTGCCCACTCCCTGGCATGCATGAGTGGCAAACCGCCAGAATTTTAAACGGCCAGCGATGGCTGTTTACATACAGCCATCGCAGCCATTGTTTACAGCCATAGTTTACATAAAAGTGGTCCGTCACCAGCAGTGTGGCTCCATGCAAGGAGAACAGAGGGAGTTCAGTACACGATTTCTCTCCGCTCTCCTCCCGGTCTCTGAATGCAGGAAGTGATGTATATTACATCACTTCCGCATTCCTCTGTCACTCTCCGGTACAGAACATCGGTGAGAAGCTGGTGAAGCAGATCTGTGCTTCATCAACTTCTCTGGGGGTCCCTAGGTGACATTAGGGGTCTTAGAGACCCCTGATGTCTCCATAAAAGGGGACCTGTCACTGTAATTTGATGTCACATAGAGGGATTTTTATCCCCCTATGTGATAATAAAGTTAAATGTAAAAAAAAATTGCTCACAAAATAAATAACATTTACACACACAAATAAAATCAACAAAGAGTCCCCCACCCCCACATAGATGCGCAAAAATGCGTTAGTTGAGCCTACACGCAAAAACGACGATTGCACCACTAGCGCCGCACATGTTATATATCGCCCGAATGTTGCAGTGAGAGCAATAATTCTAGGGCCATCAATCACTGATAACACTAAACTGATGAGCGGTAAAATCTTTTAAAGCGTTACCTACGGCCAATTTTGGGTATGGTAGCTTTGTGCGATTTCGCGGGTGCGCGCGAATTTTAAAGCTTGACATTTTTGGTGTCTACTTGCCAGACGTGACCCCGCCTTTTATATTTTACCAAAAAATTGGGTATTAACGTTTCCTAGCATTATAAAAAGGGAAAAGTTTTTTTATTTTTTTTAATATTCAGTACTTTTTTCGTTATATAGTAAAAAATAAAACCCGCAGTGGTGATTAAATACCACCAAAAGAAAGCTCTATCTGTCCCCACAAAATGGTATAAAATTTGTTTCAGCACAGCGTTGCATGACGGAATAAATGTCAGTCAAAGTACCGCAGCGCTGAATACTGAAAAATGGCCTGGACAGGAAGGGGGTTTTTAGACACCACGGTCAGCAAGTGGTTAATAGCAACCTATGTAGGTCTTGTATACACCGGCTTCAGCTTGTAGAAGATGAATGTGTAAAACAAGTTTTTCCAAAGAATGTCCACAGATTTACTGAAGACTTTAATGCACCCTTCAGCACCAGCTTGAACATGGCAGCACCGATCATAATGGGAGTGCTAGCTGTCACCCTAAATAAACAGCTAGAGTTTCAAGTTTCAGTAGCTTGTAGATCCAAAAGACTCAAAATCCAAACACCAGCAATGTGAACTGGTATATGCAGTTTCATGTAGAGAGAAATGCAAATACCTATACATTGGGGAGACGAAACAATCTCGCAACACAGGAAGGACTAAGCAGTCTCCCTACACCAGGGGTCTCAAACTCAATTTAGTCGGGGGCCACTGGACACATTTTTTAGTCCCGTAGGGGCCGCTACTATATACGGTACTAGTTTTAATGTATGCACATGTTACAAGCGGCAACTGTCACCCATTCAAATTTATGATCGGGTGACAGCTGCTGCATGTAAACGCCTGCACACTGCATGTAATCATATGTGAAAGGATTACATGCAGTTAGGAATCTGTCACTATCCCTGGATACACAATTGTTTATCCAGGGATAGTGATTGTTTTTGTAACTGCATGTAACCATATCACATACGATTACATGTGGTATGCAGGCGTATACATGCAGCGGCTACCACCTGATCATTAACTTGAATGGGTGACAGTTGCTGCATGATAAGGTCTAGTGCAGACCTTACTAATGATCCATTAATCGGCCACAGCTCAGAACTGACAGACTCCGACCGGAGCAGCTCTGCAACCGACAAAGATGCAGACCGTGTAGCTTCTCCTGCAAGTCGGGCACGCAGTCCGTGACCGTGTGCCCGACTTGTCAGCTGGCTACGGGCCACATAGTACTGGCTCACGGGCTGGTACTTTGAAACCCCTGCTTTACACCTTAACAAAAAGGGACATTGTTTTGAGGACAGTGAGGTGTACATTTTGGACAGAGAGGATATCGGTCAGCCACATATAATGCCATTTTAATATCTCTACCCTGGTGATTTTACAAATCCCACCTTCAGCCATATAGTGCAAACAACTGACACCATTACCAGACACCAAGGGATTGTTTTTTTTTAACTAGAACATAGCAGATTCACACATTATTTACATATCCTGTCATGTTTTTGAACAATCTACTTCTGCCTTGACACATTCCATGGCCATTGGAGTAAGGTGATCGAGTTACCTGTGTGTCTAAACCCTGGAGTATGTTGCTGACACTCAGATCTGAAGAAACTGAAGAATAAGCAATGTATTACTTTTGGCTTGAAATTCTTTTTAATAAAAAGCACCTGATGTTTTCCTTAATATGTAATCAATATCAAAAGGAAAAATATTTAAATAATTCATCAATGATAAAAGGCTTTTTATGTTTTTTGTATGTTGGTCAGTATAAGAGTGATTCACAACATGAGTTTTTTCAGCATAGCAAGTTCCTCAGGGAAAACTGGCAGTTCATCTCCCGATCGTCATGAGCATGGCCAGTGATGGTCTTTCACCTTGTGCAAAATTCTGCCCGGATTACACCTCAGTAGATGCTAGTCCAAGAAGACCAACAGTTCCAAAAACGGAACAAAATATCTTCCAACAGCAGTGAGAGGGATCCGCAACTCAACAACGTTTCTGGGCTTGTTCATCCTATGGAAGGACAACAAAAATAAACAAAGATGATGATGTTCAAAAAGACTCTAGACCTCAGTTAGAAAATCGGAACTGTCTAATCTGGTCAAACTAATCCACCAGATTATCCCTTTCATTCTACCAAAGTACAATGCCCCACCATGTATAAATTAAATATGACTGTATGTGTATAGTGTAAGCACAAAGTTACACATTTGCTAATCATATTTGTAAAGCCATGCACGCACCTAATTACCAAATACCTGGGTATGACATTATGCCATCTTACTGCAGCCCTCTGCACATTGTTAATTCTGCAACCTGCACTAATAGTTGGCCTAAATGCAAGAACTAATTATTGCCACACGGTTCACTTGCCACTTGAACAGGAACAGAGGGGAAATCTTTCATGGGGTCACCTGTTCTCATGACAACCGTCAGTTTTAATCCTCCCCTTCTGTATCCAAAATGACTGGTTTACGATATACTTTAAGGCAGCCTCTCTCAACCAGGGTATCATGGCACCCTGGGGTGCCTTTTGGTCTTGTCAGGTGAGCCTTCAAATTTCTGCTACAGGAGTGGTCTCTGGCGGCTACTAATTTGAACGGGGACACTATGTTTTAGCTTTGCCTGTGGTCCCCCCTTAAAACCTATACCAGACCCTTGTCTAGGATAAGGCTTGGTATTGATTTTGAAGGGAGGGGACCACACATTTCCACATTGTACATGGGGTGTACAAAATGAGGTGGGGTGCCTAGAGATTCTGCATACTTTTAAAAGGTGCAATGACTGAAAGAAGGTTGAGAAATTCTACTTAAAGCACATATATGTGGAGATTGATCATGTAAAGTCCTAAGTGGACTCCCCTAGACGCTAATTGCACATTATTTCACAGTAAGATACTGAGCTTTCTTGTATACGTGCATTGATTATGTGACCACTGAAGTAACTTTCTCTTCACATGACAGACCTGGTGTGTGTGTGCTGCATCTCTAACACCGAGACTCATATTTGCGGTAAACATCATATGATCTGATCACTCCCATCTGTGTTATACTCATTTCACAGGCAAGTAAAACTCCACTGACAGAAAGTCAACATGAATTTACTTCCTGGGTAAAATTAGTACTGGGTCCAGGTACTCCACTGGGAAAAACTCATAAATCCTGTAGCACTCCTTACCGGAAATCCCCCAAAAAGTAGGTGAGTGAAATGACAGCGGATGGCGCCGCACACAAAACAGCTTAAAATGTAGATGTCACCAGCATGACAGAAGCTCATAAGTCAGTGCAAATCCATTTATTAATAGATGTCACTCAGAATGACAAGCGCTTTTGGGGCCGCACAGGGTCCCCTTCATCAAGCTATATACTATAGAATGTAAGTGCTAAGGACATTAGGATTCAGGCTGGGTTCACACCATTTTTCGGACCAGATCTGGAACATAGTGCATATAAAAGGGGTGACCTTTTATCGACATATGATGTCATCATTTTATATGGTAAGATGTCCTCCCATGTGACCCCTTAATTAACCTCAATTATCCCTAATTAACTCCTTCTCCACATAGCTTAATTTTTTCAAAACTTTTCTTTTTTGTTTTCATTTGTTAATTTTTTTTAGTGTCACATTTAAAAGTGCAAAATGCTTTTTTTATTTTATTTGTTTGCAAGGGACGCACACATGGTATGCAGATCCGTTCTTTTTAAAAAAAAAATGTTTCAAGTCCTCGTTCTCTAATGGGTCCCCGCATTGCTCTCCCCCCCCCCCCCCCCACCGCACGGGTGTCTCCATCAGCTATGCAGCAGGCCATGCCCCTTCTTTCCCAAAAGGTTGATTGATGGCAGAAGGAGCCTGTGGCTCCTCTGCCCTCAGTATCCTCCCCCGAAACCATGGAGTTCAGGGAACGCAAGATCGCTTCAGGGATTGGCAGCAGTGCACAAGTCTGGAGGAACGTGGGACACTAAAGGGTGCTGGATGTTTTTTTTTACCTTAATGCAAAGGTTAGACCCTTATCAGGTTATCCTTAGCTGTCTGTGTCCTGCTGGGAAGATTTTCCAAAGTGAGAGGAGTTCCCACCAGAACATTTGTCCTCATTGGAAGGTTTACACTTTCTTCTTGCAGTCTATAATTTAGGATTTCTACTTTGTCTTGGCGATGATGGTCACCAGGGAAAAATAGAGGAGTGAATTTCCCCAATGAGGACACAGATAGCAATAAAAACGTGACAGAGGGTCTAGCCCTTCCCTACTCTATTCAAAACTAAAATAATATTACAAAGGTTTTCCCTTTACATAAACTTTCATTTTTTACTATTTGTATTCTCTCCCTAGTACAACCCATCTCCTCCAAAGTACATCCTATCCCCAGCTCAGGTGCCGCTAACAGGTGCTGTCAACATTACATACAAATATTGACAGTTCAGCAATCTTTACACAATTACAAGTATCAGCCTTCACAACAGGCAGGAGACGGAATAGCTAACATAGAAGCCTAAAAGTCTAACAGGGAGGGAATATAAATATATTTTTGTAAACACTCAGAGATATGAGGTAGGTGACCAAACCATTACCTTAACAGCCTTCTGTAGTTGAGAAAGAGCCTCTTCATATTTCTGCTCAAACTGTATCAAGTTGTCCCTATTCGCCAGTTGTTTATGTAGCTTCGGTACTCCAGCTTCTTTCAACATGTTGAAATACCTCTGCTCCTGAGAGAGTAACATGTGCAAGTGAAAATACCAGCATGATAGGGTTGCAAAATATGTTAAAGGTGTAAATGAATACAAAGTATCATAACATTATTAAAGAAAAATGAGGATAGCCAGAGAGGTTGATGGCCAGTCACGTTATGACAAAAGTCAAGAAGTGAAAGGAAAAAGGTATGTACTATTTACCATAACAAGAAGAAAAAAAAAAAAAGTGTTGACAGTGCATGTCCTCACTCCCACAAGTTCAAAAAAACAAGGTTTATAATTTAAGGACGAGCTCAATGAGATCTACCAACGAAAAAACACCTGCATTTGGGGCAGAGGGAGCATGGCGGTGCATTGAAGTGAATGGCACCGCAGCCACACCCCTCACCCGCAGGGCGATCACCCGCACCTGGAACGCAGGCAAATTAGTGCCTGCATTCCGGTCCAGTGCGATCTGCAAAAATGCTGCAAACACTATTTTTGCAGATTGCACTGGACCGGAATGTAGGCAGGCGATCGCACTGTGGGCAAGGGGCATGGGGTTGTATTGAAGTCAAATGGCACCGTAGCCATGAACGCAGGGAGTCGGCCGGCTTGCGTTCTAGAGGCGCCAGCGTCCTGTCCTCCCGCGGTGCTCGTGTGGCCGAAGTTGAACACGGGGAGAGGTGTCTTGCCCCTTACCGTCTGCGGCGTCTAACACATTCAGCCAGCAGCCACACGAGCACTGCCGGAGCATAGCCGTAGCTAGCTCCTTTTGCGCCCGAGATGTAAAACGAAATACCACCAAAAGAAAGCTCTATCTGTCCCCCAAAAATGGTATGAAATTCGTATCAGTACAGCGTTGCATGACGGAATAAACGTCAGTCAAAGTACCGCAGCGCTGAATACTGAAACACCCCGGTCTTAAAGTGGTTAATTTAATTGTTTGTTTTCCCTATTTCCCTTTTAAAATAGAAAAAGAAATTGAGGACACAAAGTGAATGGAAAGCACAGAGGCTTCCCATTCATTCAGAAACTATTTTACTATCATCCAGTTTCTGAAAGGGGAGGGGCCTCTGTACAGAGTGCTACTCCCCATTGAGTAACTCATGAATGAACAGGAAGTGATGTGAATCCCATCCTGTGCATTCATAACTGGTACTATGTGTCCCCAGTTATTTACAAACACTGGAGTCATCAGCTGATCGCTCCAGTGTTTGTCCTGCACAGAGGATTGGTACATATCACTGATTTGTACAGATCCTCTGCTGCTCAGCCACGCACACAGAGGGGCTCAACTTCTCTTCTGGATCTCCGCTGCTCACAGCCGTATGTGCGGAGCCACTGTCACAGCAGCATGTGCGGTGTGGAGAGAGAGAGAGCCGCCGGCTGTCAGATCCAGGCCGAGCGTCTCTCTCTCTCACCACTCGGCGTGCTGCTGTGATAGCGGCTCCGTCCTCCGCCCCCCACCGCAGCGCTTCGTTCACTACTCCTCGGATCGCCGCTGCATACAGATGGGGGAGAGCAGCGGGGATCCAGAGAAGTCCCACGGCAGGAGAACAGGACATCGCGATCTACCAGGGATCGCTTTGCGATCGACTGGTAGATCGCGATCGACCTAATGGGCACCCTGATCTAGAACCAATGAAAATCATACCAACATTTATACAACTTGCATAAAGCTGTTCAGCATTGCGGTCATCGGAAGCCCGCCCCGCCCGCGGGCTTGCGATTATAGCAAGTACGATCTGCCTGTCCAAGATGGCCAGATCGTACGTTTTTTACATTACCTTACAACCATCGCAAGACAAAAGTCTTGCGATGGTTGTAAGGTGTGTGGCCAGCTTTACAATCATCTCATTGTGCGATGGTTGTAAGGTCATTAAAATTTCGTACGACCTGCCCATCTTGGACAGGCAGATCGTACTTGCGATTATCGCAAGCCCTCCCCGCTGAGGGATTGCAATGCTGAGCAGGCAGTGTGCGCTTGCTCACACCGTCCCGTGCGGCTTTCGTCTTGCAATCGCGCTACCAATCCGCCGAAAATCGTTTTCTAGCGTGCTCATAAGAGGAAAGTCATGGCACACTCACAAACCAGCATGTAAAAAAACTTGTCTCACCACTGAGGTTAATAACAGAGGTTTGGATACACGTCTTCTGCAGAAAATGTGAAAGCCGCACTGCCGCGCCAAGGCACCTCTTATAGTGCGGTCCTAACTCTAAACTATGAGAGTCTCCATCTTGGAGCACATGGGGGCAGAAGATTTCAAATTGGGTGCAGGTTTGTTTGGTGACAAGTTGTTGAGTGCGTTTGTCGTTTGTTTTGCTTGACCGATTTGTTGCAGTGACGCATGGGGGTTCTCAGCTGCCATTGGGATGTGCGGGATCCCTTGTGTGTTTCTGTGCTTTTAAGGAGGTTGGCGCTTCCTCCTGACAGGCCTGCACCCAATTTGAAATCTTCTGCCCCCATGTGCTCCAAGATGGAGACTCTCATAGTTTAGAGTTAGGACCGCACTATAAGAGGTGCCTTGGCGCGGCTGTGCGGCTTTCACATTTTCTGCAGAAGACGTGTATCCAAACCTCTGTCATTATCCTTAGTGGTGAGACATGTTGTTTTACATGCTGGTTTGCGAGTGTGCCATGATGCCTTTCTACTGTTTTACTGTTCAAAGCCCATTTCGTGTGCACCTTACTGTATAACTGGTGACAAGTTGTTGAGTGCGTTTGTCGTTTGTTTTGCTCGTACAGTAAATCCGGTCGCACAGTGCCCATAAACCTGCCGATTATCGTACGATTGCGGGATCACCCATGATTATCGTATGATAATAGTATGGGCACCTTTACACTGGTAGTTCCTGAAGTGTTTTTTATTTTTAAAAACATGTATAGCAGCCACATTCCTGGGCCTTTCCTTTCTTGCTCTTATTGCCACTCTGATCTTCATTATAGTCACCTTGAAAATCTTTGTACTTCTCTGTATGCAATGCACGTGCCTTACGTCTGCTATAGATGTAATAATAGATCAAACATACATTTCATCATTGAAACAATCTTGGATCTAAAGTGATTGGCTTGTTTGAATACAATTAGATTTTCTGCCATGACCAAGTATTCCTTACTGAAGAAAATTATTATTAATTGCAACGGAATTGTTATCTGTATGGCCAGCATTATCGAGTAAGTTGAAAATAAGCTAACTCCTCGAATCTTTAAAAAAAAAAAAAAAAATGCAGAGGATTTATTTCTCAATAAATACATTGTTTATTGGTACATGAATCATAAAAGCATACCTGGATTTTCAGAAGCATTGTGAATGACAGACCCACCTTCCCGGCACGAGCTGTCCTGCCCACTCTGTGATAACAAAAACAACCCGGCTTTTACATTGGAATACACGCTCTCCATATTGGATTTCTATCTTACTACTAACATTTTCAGTAATTATTACACTGACCTTTTAACTTTCTATAAATAATACAATAAACATAAGAAACATTCACCCTTACAAATGTACATTTCTATTTTCATCATTCAAAATTTTCATTTTTATTTTCAGATGGAGTTCTCTACTAAAATGTGTGCAAATCAGGATATCAAATATGCAATGGAGGCCTCAGATTTATGGATTTAAGTATTAACCTATGCCTTACCATTACCAAAAGTAAGCGTTGGGGAAACTGAACACTTAAAAAGGAGAACTATGAGGTAAGTGAAAATCACTCATCCTCATAGTTTGAGCCGACGTGTGACAATTAAACTGTTTAATAGATCGGGGAGTGAACACATACCATCGCTCGCTCACTTCTCGATCATCTCCCTGCAGATAGTGGTGGCCGTCAGTCACGACTCCCTGCAGGGATTCCCCTCCTCCCCTCTCCCCCAGCCGTCTGAGACAGCAGTCATTCACGCAGCTGGGTGGATCTCGACAGCATTGTCGGGATCTGTCCCTGCTGCGGCAGTCTCAGTATACCGCAAACTGTAGCTCGTGATATACTGAGCTTTGGATCACAGGAGGACGCTAGTATATGTCCTCCCGTTACACTTAAGAAAATTATGGGGAAAAACACTTACCCTATAGCTCTTTTTTGTAAGTATTTAATATACAATACGTGTGTGTGTGTGTGTGTATTTATTATTTAAGCAAGTGTGCTGTTCTAGAATAGGGGGGAACTGTTTAAGAAAAAAAATAATAATGGAGATTAACTTCATGTGGTTGCAAAGGACCTCCACATTATTTGTACAAAAGTAAAGTAAATACAAGTATCGTGTGCTTGGAATTCTAATACTGTGGAGCAGGAGGTCTATCAGTGGGGCTAGCTGTAACTTGCAATTCTATATAGACAGAATAGAGAGTTATCAGGTATTGCTGTAAACATCTGCATTCCGTCTATAGTAAAGTTAAAGCGCTGTGCTCGGATTCTGATGATTAAGTAAAAACAACTAGGGGTGCTGCCCCACTTCAGCCGGGAGAAACTGTAAAACTGGAATACAAAAAAGGACAGAAGGGCGCCCAACCTAGTGCAGATTATTTTTTATTTTAAAAGACACAAAGATAAAATTGCAATGGTACTCACAATGGAGGTTCATAAAACAGCTTGTGTGGATGTTTTGGAAGAAACAGCAGTTGAGACTGCAATCTGCCTGTGTGCCACTGTAGTGTGGCGGCGTTGACGCGTTTCCGGGGTCAAGCCCCCTTCCTCAGAACGTGACCTCACATTGCAATTTTATCTTTGTGTCTTTTAAAATAAAAAATAATCTGCACTAGGTTGGGCGCCCTTCTGTCCTTTTTTGTATCTGCATTCCATCTATTTTATGTGTGGCAGTGGAGTATAAAGTGGCCTTAAAGTACAGAGACGTTGTACCTAAAATCTACAGTTTGTATTAGTCACCTCCTCAAAATACCTTTGCTAAGGGTGCGCGGATTAGACAGCAGACTGGCATGGGGCAGCATTCCACTCTAAGCCCGAGAATGCAATCACTACTGAAAACACTAGGGGATCTTATAAGGGAATATATTACGGTTTTACAGGTATGGGCACCAACACAAGCATACAGCAAATCAATGCAAAAGCAGCAATCCCTCTACTTCTTACTTCATACATAGATAACGTGATAAATTAATTTACCCCGATCACAACACTTTTTTTTTTTTTTTACACACTCTATAGGACATAAGGATTGATATAGAGAGCTGTAATAAAAATGATGGGTAGATAGAGGTAATATATAAGAAGCCATGTCAAATTCTACATGTGCTAAAAAGCAGACACACCTGTGAATGTATGTTCGGATGTACTGAGGAGCGTCATAGTTTATCACACACTTCACGCCTTTAATGTCTATTCCTCTGGCTGTAGCATCTGTACTTATTAACCTGTACAAGACAATGAAAAAATGGACAGATGTCAAAAACAACACTGTACAAGCAGAAAAGGTGGCAAAGTATTAAAAAACAATTGCTAGGTACATTATCAACCTATATGGAAAATCAATATATGTTTTAAGCAGAATTCATTTTTCTAAACAATGATAATTTGCAAACCAGAAAAAAAGCACAACAAACACTCATATGTAGATTGACACAAATACGAATTAAGTATGGTACAGATGGACATGAGAATGATGAAATGTGCTGCAATCTATTACTTGTAACTAACGTCACAGGAAAAAAAAAAGCTAAGCTTTGGCACATAATTGAAACTCACAGCTGTAGCTTCCCCTGTTCAAACTCCTTCAGGGTCTTCTTCCTCTCTCCAGGACTGAGACGTGAGGAAAATTCAGCCACGGTAGTCCCTCCAAAGAGCTTTATAAGAAGGTAGAGGCTGTGAAACAGAATAAAGCATCAATCAATCCAGTGACAGATAGTTACGTTACCACTACATCATATAAACAACATATTCATTAGCAGAACAGATGAAATATAGATTATCCAGACCCAGATGAGTGGACGTCGCCAGACAAGACTCTTGGGGAGACGACCCTGGGGCTAGGAGGTTGTCGGCCGTCAGGCACGTTCCCAGGTAGACGGCGGCTCGTTGAACTTCGCCCCACACCGAGGGCGGAGGGGGACAAATAAACTGCTCGTGAGCAGAGAAGGAAGGACCGGGCAACCGCCGGTGGTACAGAAGCCGGGGGCTCGATTTTGACGGCCGCCCAGACACGGGTGTCTGGGCGGCCGGTTGACCGGAGCCCGCGGCCACGCCACGGCCACGACACACAGTGAAGCCAGCGCTGTGACAGCGCTCCCCCAGGCTCCAGGCCACCCCAGGCAGCAAGACCACAAGTGTCCCTCAGCAAGGGAAAACAAGGGGCAAGAAGGAGGAAGGGGGGGGACGACAAAGGAGGCCCACAGACCCCCACACACGGCAACACAACCAAACAGAAGGGCAGGCAGCCCCTGAAGTCCTCCCGCACAGTCCCTGCCCCACATACATACCACCATGCTGGGGAACGCGCACCGTCCTCGCACCACAGCCACCGCCAGCACCCGATACGTCGGGCCAAATCCACGCGGCGCAAAGAGGTAAGGACGAGCAGGGACAGCGGGTAGAACGCCCCCGACCGCGGTGTCACCAGCCTGTACGGAGTGCTGTGACCGGTCGGGCGAGCCCCCCGGTCATATGCAATTCCATTGGGACAAGCCCACAGGCCACTCCGTCGAGACAGAGTTGTCGCAGCCGACCCACCGTAGCAGAGTCTGCATGCGCTCGCCGGCCGCCCAGGGGAGACTACAAGGATCTACCACATCCAGCCTGTCGCCCTGGCAGCACTTGCTAGAAGAATCAGCGAAAAAACAGGAAGAAAGTCAGGTAAGAATACCAGAGAAAAAATTCTTAGCTCCTTACTCCTGACGCTAGGCAAAAAACTGGAGACTTGTCAGCAGGTGGGGGGTTTGGCCACCAGCAGGGGCCGCCCCTAGGCTGTAATTGGTCTTTAGTTTTGTGCCTAGCGTCCTTCTCCTGCAGGTGGCGATATTACCCTACAGTACATGATCCTAGATCTGTTCCCTGTGTCCTTCAATGAACGGAAGAGAAAACAATATTATCAGATGGATACCTACATTTGAAACTTAGTATTAATAGGCTTATTCAATAATCAAGGACTGAATATAGTGCATTAAAACCAATCTGATTTTAGCTTACTCAAGAGAAATCAGAGAACAGCACTGATCGATACCTTATAAAACAATCCTACTTAAACTGAACTTCACCCCAAAAAAAGGTAAATCATTTTGGCTTAAAAAAGTGACATTAAACCCTCAGATTTTTTAACATGAAACAATACTGTAATGTGCGCCTTACTGTAATCCATGGTTGTTTCCCTTCTCTTTGCTGCTCTTCCTTTGAAATCTGTATCTCTTCTCATGCTGGGCAGAACTTCTGTTTTGCAGCAGACTGCCTTGTCTGAGGAATGGATACATGGTGTCTGTGTGTAGGTTCACAACCTGAGCCAGCACTACAGGAAGAGGCACTCAGCTGCAAAGGGAAGTTCTCCCCAAGCATGAGAAGAGATAAGGATTTAAAAGGAAGAGCAGCAAAGAGAAGGGAAACTACCATGGATTACAGTAAGGCACACATTACAGTATTGGTTTATGTTAAAAAATCTGAGGGTTAAATGTCACTTTAAATGATTCAGGACTGCCATACCTGAAAGCAGCAGCCGTGATCTTAGTACCATTTCAAAAAGTCGGCGATTGCTGTTACATACAAGTGAACTGGCAGCTATAGAGCTGCCCAATCACTGGTACGGTGGTGGGGAGTGTGCTATCCTGGGCTCCGCTGTCCCCATATGGGCCCGGTACCAGCATGACGGGTCTCTGCACTGAGATCGAAGGGGGATCAGCACACTTCCATCAGATGATCTGCTCTCTGATCACTGAACCTGGAAACAATGAGGGGAATTTATCATAACTGGAGCAGACAAAATTTGGGGCAACTGTGTTGCTTCTCTGTTTCACGGCTCCAGTTTTGAAAAATTCCCCTCAATGTGTATTACATCACTTCCGGTTTCAGTGCGTGTCATTTCTCTGGGAGCTGTAAACGGAGAAGAAGCTGATGAAGCAGATCTCTGCTTCTTCAGGTTCTTTGGGGTCCATATGTGATATTAGGGGTCCCTGATGTCTCCATTAAGAGGACCTGTCACATCCTCTTTGCTATTAAATAGGTGGCTTGTTAGCCATCCATGTGATGGCAACAAAGCGTAAAAAAAAATTTAAAAATGAAAAAGTCACATTTAAAAGAATTAAAAAAACAAACAAAAACGAAATAAGAAAAAAGGTCCCCTGCCCTCATGTACATACAAACGCAAACACGCATCAGGTGCGCCTATGTGCGAAAGCGACAATTGTGCCACACGATAAATATCACCACGAATGTCAGCATGAGAGCAATAATTCTAGGGCCATCAATCCCTGTTAACACTAAATTGATGAGCAGGAAAAAGTTTTAAGGCATAGCCTATGGGAAATTTTGGGTATGGTAGTGTTTTGCGATTTCACAGGTACATGTAATTGTAAGGCTTGACTTGTTTGGTATCTATTTACCCGACATGACCCCATTTTCTGTTTCTGTGTACTAAAATAATTTTAGTGTATTTTATCCTATAAATAATGGTTTGATAAACATTCGTGCAAATACTGTGCAACATAAAAAATTGCAACTAGCATTTCTCATTCTACAGGGCCTCTGCTTTCAGAAAATATATAATTGTTTGGGGGTATTAAGCTGTTTTTTGTGCAAAAATTAAGAAATTGCTCCAGACAGCAAGTAGTTAAAGCGTATCTAAACTTAAAAATAAAAACTTAAATTGGATTTATGCTGCATTATTGTTCTCGGTTTCAATAAAATAACGTACTTGGTTCTAGTGAATGCTATTTCCTACTAGCGTTGTCAGACCCCGCATCTCTTTATGTGCTGACTGCGTATGCTCAAAGAAGCTGGGAAGGGTGAATGATGTAATTTTGCTGCCAGCTGGTGTTAACCTGGAGGCCCACATCACTTCTGACAGGGACGAGGTTGCTGCTTGGTTACATGGCCAGCTTACGCACAGTATTACGATATGCAGGTGAATTGGAAGGTGAACAAACTTAAAAATCATATTAATCTAACTAGATTTGTTATTTTAATCATTGTAATCCGCTTCAAAATCAATTAACTGCCAGTGGACTCTCTGTTGTATAAGGATTTACAACTATAATATATTGCCACTTAGCCTTAGATATCGTGGCTGCATTCGTTTTTCTTTTTCAGGATTTATTTCCCTTTATTTTCATCTGGTGATCCTGCAAGTAACACACCTTGTCCCTGTGTGAAAACGCTCACTTACACCACTGTATCTACGGAGGAAGCCATGAGAGTCATCCAGGTTGGACTTCAAACATGTCTACCTCTGTTCAACACTACTACATGGGTGTGGGGGGGAGGAGTAAATTACGCAAGGCTAATAACATCGATTGTACATTTAGTTCAGCTTACAAGGACACTGCATTTCTAGCAAGATCAACAGCTATATTCTTTGCTAGGTGAAAAAGTATTTAGCCTAAAAATGAAAACAAATGCAGCCACCACAACAAGGGAATGGTAATCTAATAAATACCTGGTGATCCTGCCAGTCAAATGGCCTTGCTCTTACAGGGTGACAACGCTAAATGCCCAGCAGTGAATTCAGTGCAGCATTGGCACTCTGTACAGCCACTGTAGCTGCTAGATAGGGAGGCTGTGTCCTCATGAAGGTGAAGGAGGGTTATCAGCATTGTTTCCTTCACTTTAACGACAGCCAGAGTAGGACATATGGAGGTCTGCACAAACAGGGAAATGTGCAAAGGACAAATATTGTTTCACAATAGAGGGACTTTAGGCCCCATTCACACCAGGGTGGATGCGTTTTAGCTCGGTCGCCGTACAAATTTTAAAAGGGCGGTTTGGGGTGTTTTTAATCTGGTTTCAATGCTCAAACGCATTTTAAAACGCCCAAAACGCACAGATAATTTCCATTCAAATGTGTATGGAATCCGCGCTGATCAGCGCAGAGAAAAAGGCTCAGGGAGCATTTCAGGCGGCAGGTGGTTCGGATCCTGCGGTGCCACACAATCGCATGAACGGTCCCCATAGGAATGTGTGGGATTGTTTATGTCGGCGATTCAGCAGACAAATCCGCGTGACCGAACCGCCCTGGTGTGACTGAGGCCTTAAAGTGATTTACTTTGTTCAAAGAAAACATAAGTAACAGTTTCACTAAATAGCAAGCAGAGTAAGCATCCTGTGCTGATTTTTAGCTGCTGCCTCTGACTATTGGGGAACTTTGCTGCCTCCCACAATAAATCACTCAGTGTCAGGCCCAAGCAAAGGGGGCATGTAATGTGGGTTATGGCAGCAAAATAGGTGGGTAGATGAGCACTGAGAAGTTTAAACTTTGCTTACTCTACCTGCTATGAAGTTAACGTGCCACTATGCCTACAAATCCAGGCAGCCAAAAAAAAAAAAAAGAGAACCATTTTAGTTACAGGTTCAGTAAAAAATAACTGAATGCATTTTTAAACACAGCTAATATAAGTACCTGAATCTACTTGCAGATTAGCTTTCTGTAAAGCACAGGATGACCAGAATACAATGAATCTTACATTGAGTGTTTTTCTGAAAAATAATAGCAGAGAAAGACTTCTGCTTTCAGCTGCATCCAAGTGAGGTCACCAACACAGTCGTGGTGTCCAGCACCTGTCTTACTTGCCAAAAGATTTGTGATTTACAAGGTCAGCTAAACAGAATGCCAAGGTGAGAGGTTTACACAAACATTTATTTATTTTAACTGTGTATTTAGCCTTTTTGGAGTTCAGCTTAAACAATTGCTGCCAATGCAAGCATAGATTCCAATTGAAATGTTCCAAGCAGTTCTCCCAAACATCATTTGACAATCTATATATCTTAGAATCAGATAAAGTGACTTACCGGTGGGAAGACTCTCTAGAGTTGGTGAAGCAGAGCACACGGGAGAAGCGCAGGGTGAGTAAAAAGTGTAGGAGTATTAGAGGCTTGGTGTTCAGATTGCAGGGAATGTAATAATGCTGAAGAAGACCAGAAACACTTATTTGTTATATATTACTGTATACACCAGGCAAGTCAGAAAAACAGTTCAAATACTCTGCTGCAAGAAATGTGTGTTCACACAAGTACACATCTCCTACTGATAACAACAAACAGATCTGCCTTTGTTCATTCATCCAAAATGCTGCACTGATGGCATCTGCCACAACTTTCATCTCTGGTGTGGTTGACATTTCAGTGTTGTACACATGCTGTGATGAGACCATCCCCATTGCCATCACTTGGGCGTAAACTCATTCATAGCAGGATTATTGCAAGTGATTAATGAACTGGTTATTAAGCCAAAATATTTTCTAAATGTATTCCGTTTTAGATAGGACAGTGCAAAGACAACTGCTAGTGTGCAAAGTGTAGCAACCAAACAGATTTCACATTACTGTTCAAACGAGTTAAGGAATTCTGTAGAGTTGCTCTGAGCTACAATACAAAACCGCTGCTCTTTACATTACATTACTGAGTAAGTACAGTCATTCTGTATGTACTTGGGTAATTTTCAAGAAACCTTTGAACTGCTCACCGTTAGGCCCTCTGGAAGAGAGAAGTTTCCAGAAGAGAGAGGCTCATCTGAGTCTTTAGCAGACCCCTTGCGTGGCTGTTGGTGGATGGAAGAGAAGAGACGAGGCTGGTACAGGCCTAGCTGCTGAAGCTTCTCTGGATTGTGAGTCAATGTGGCAGAGAAGAGAAGTTTCTGCAAGGGGATCTGACACTGGCTAGAACTGTAGAATAAAAGTAACAGGGACATGGACACAGAGTCCTATATAAAAATGTTAAAATATTAATTTACTAAAATGTAGAAATAGAAGCAGCATAACAACATTTGGACATCAAGGAAGTGAATGGTCAAAATAACTGAAAATAGACAGCTCACAAATCCAGCTTTCACAGCACACCCCTTGCTCTTCTGGATTATTTATATAACTCTATTGAGGACCCAGCACAGGGACAGTGAAAGTCATTTACATCTAGCTACTTACTTTGCAATGGTGGTCACTGCAGGATCCCTTCTGGCAAAAAGCATTGACTGAGTATCTGAATTCACTTTAAACACTGCCTTAATAACATGAGGTAACCAGTCCTGATTCATAGAATCAATCATACGATCTGCTTCATCAATAACCTGCAAGAGAAATAGGACAACCCATAACTCAAAAGGCACGAAAACATATTACCCAAGGAGGTAATGAAATAGTACAGTCTAGTTTTACCAAGAAGCGCAGATGCCTGAGAGTGAATCCCTCTGTCTGCTGAATGTGATCAACAAGCCTTCCTGGTGTGCACACAAGTATGTCGGCCAAACTGCAGAACCCGGACAACCTGTGAGCAAACAATATCCCCAAAAAAGTGAAAAACATCAAAATTGGAATAGCAAGGCACAGAGAATTAAAATATGAAGTGATCCTCCTACAACTAAAAACTCACTTTTTAACTACCAAAGACTCCTGCTCTTTAGCAAATGATTTATGACCTGCTACCAAGACAACTTTCAGTCCAGTACCGTCCACATAAATGTTAAACACCTTGCACACCTGACAGGAGAAGAAGAAACCGATATCATTATAAGGAGTGAGAGGAGAGTGATTACTGATATCAATAGTATGTCTACACACATGCCATTTACCTGTTGTGCCAACTCCTTGGTGGGCAACACGACCAGTACTCGAACCTCACATACAACACGCTGCAGTAAAGCCTGTGGACCAACATATACAGGTATTATAACCCTTTTATTAATGAAGCACCAATAAACAATATGATAGTATTTATGCAAAAACAAAAACCCCAAGATCATACATACAATTTGGAATGACATATTTACATGAGACGGATATATTCGGTCATTACATACACAGGTTCTGCTACTTTCTTTAAAGTGTTGTGCTTCACGGTTTCTTTCTACAGTGCAAGTCCATGAATGAGTGGCTAATATCTTCTCTAACCAGTTGTTAAGCAAGGAGATTGGATGAGACCAAGAAAAAAAAAAAATCTCACTCTAGAGGCTAAAGTGTATGTAAACCCTAACAGTTATCCTTCTCTTGGTCTGCTAAATATACCACTGAAAGTGGTCAATAGAGCCGACTTGTGACACATCGACTCTAATTATGGGGAAGAATGTATTTCAATCTCCCCATAATTCTCCTTACTTTTCGTTAAAAAAAACTTTTAACAAACTTTTCGTTAAGAAAACCTTACTTTTCGTTATTTCTATTTTTTTTACTATAAATATTTAAACTTTTTGTATCTATATATATTTTATTTATAGTAAAACTTTTTGTTTACAAATTTCTTTTATTATTGCCTTTGGATTTGTGGTCTGTTCTGAATGTTTAACATGCACACAAAGCAAGCTTCTCTGATAAACAAGATGAAAACACAATCTGCTGTTTAATTCCCTATGGAGAAAGATCATACAGAGAATGTATTTTCTGCTCCAGCCTAGTAAGACTGACAATAAATTATCATCTATCACTCACTATACCATGGAACAGAGGTTCAGGTTCCCAAATTTTCCCTATTTAAATAAAACAAGGGCTAAAAAATTCCGCTTGATAAATACATTTAAATAAATAATGACATTATTACATAACTTATTTTCACTCTTCTACGAAACATTTTTTTATTTTAAATGACACTGGTGAAAACTGGAAAAAAAGCACTTTTAAAAAAGGTCTTTTTTTTTTCTACAGACTACATAGAAAATAAAATAACCCCTGCAGGACAGTCATTTGCTGCAGGTCCCAGTACTGTAAAGGGAAGGTGAGAAGATAAATAGTAATTAGGAGAAAGTTCCTGTATTCGATTTCAGCAAGCTCACCTGTACAATGGGAAGGACAAAAGCCAGAGTCTTTCCACTGCCAGTGGGTGCGGACACACAAATGTCACTGGGGCGGTACCCTCCTCTGCCCAGAAGAAATCCATGAGCGCAGCTCTCCAGTATAGCTGGTATAACCTCAGCTTGGACTGAATCAGGAGAAAACCCAAAAATCTGAGCTTTAGAATCAAAGGTGGAACATGATAATCTCTAACAGAGTAAACATAGAATATAAATAATAGAGGTCTAAATTATAACCTACCTGGAAAAAATGATTGCACCTTGTTGGCTTCCAGTTTCTTTGCAAGTCTGGGATGCAAACCAGGGACATCATAAATGGACACCAGATTCTGCTTAATATCCCTGTGAACAACAGAAGGCTTTGCCAACCATTGTGGTAGAACTGGCATTACCTGCACAAAGAATAAATACATGTTGATTTACTTTTTTATGATCTCTAGCCCACTTCCAAAGCTAACTTCTTATTTTCTGTTTGTGAGAAGTGTCTTTCTTTCCAGTCATCTCGATAAACAACACTGTAACATTTAACTTGGTGCATAACATACAGTAATATGTGAATCAGAGAAAAATGTACCACGCACCAAATTCTAGAACAATGCAGGAAAACATCAATATTTGTGAACATTAGTCACAATTTTGTAAATGAGGACACTGTAATGACGGCTCTTTGTATGTAGATAACATGATCAACAAATGGGTGCTTAGGGTTATAATGTCTTTATCAGTTTATATTCCAATTAAAAGACCAGGAAAACGTGCACAGTAAGAGACTTGTTGGTGGTGTGACAAAACCGGGCGGGTACATTTATTTTCTGCTCTCGTATTTTCTAATAGAGGGCGAATACAATAATTGACTGAGGTTTTAACACCTTCCCTCTATCCAAATTAATTTAAAACGGTCAAATGAGACCAAAAATTAAAAGGGTATCATACACCACTTCCATATAATTTCTTTCCCCACCACACTACTGATGTAGAGACAGGCACAGATTTTGTGTTAAAGGAGAACTATGGGGTTAGGGCTTTTCCCCATAGTTCTCCTAAGGGTAACTGGAGGACACAAACTAGCGTCCTCCCATCACCCTAATCTCAGTATATCGCGAGCTACAGCTCGCAGTATACTGAGACGCCGCAGCTGAAACGGATCCCGACAATATGTCTGGATACGCCGAGCTGCTTAAGTGACAGCTGGCTCTGCCTATCTAGAGGCAGAGCCAGCTGTACCCGCCCCCTCCCCTGTCCATTCCGCCAGTCAGAGCTGGAGGTTCAGAGTGTGGAGGGGGGAATCCAGTCCCTGCCCAGTCACGGCTCAGTGACTTGACAAGATCGAGAAGTGAGCGAACGCCGGTATGTTTACGCTCACTTCCCGATCTCCTGAGCCGACCTGTGACAGTTTCATTGTCACAGGTCGGCTAGAACTATGAGGATGAGTGAAAAGCACTCACCTCATAGTTCTCCTTTAAGACCCTCCTAGGCATAAGTGTTTCCAGATGTGCCTTTTCAACTAGGCTCTACCTTTGTGACGCTGTTACATTTCCTTTCCCTCCTTTAACCATGTGAGCAAACGTACTATAGAGCACCTCCCTCCTGAGGAAGCCCCTTTGTGGGTGCAAAACACGTAGAGAATGAGACCACGATGTACCACTGATTGTTGAAAATACAAGTATAATCATATTTGAATCACGGTTGTGACCTGAGAATTATTTTCATATGAACTTTATTATTGGTACGGTTAATAGCTTAAGGGTCTCAAGGAGAGTGCTTGACCATATTTGAGGGATTGTTTTTAACTTGTTCTTATTTGTTCTATATCATTTTATGTATATTAAAAGTTTTGTTATTATTATTAGAGATGCACAGATACTAGTATCGGTGCTGATACGAGTACTTACCCAAATGCTCTGATACTTACCCCCGATACCGGAACTTCTGGTCAGAGGTAGATTTCCTCTGACCGGCAGTGTCGTGAGGGAACATGAAGTCAGCTTCCCGGCCAATCAGGAAGCCAGGCAGCAAGCAATGACTCACCACCCGGCTTCCTGATTGGCCGGGAAGTTGGCTCCATGCTGATTGGCTCAGCCAATCAGCACGGAGCTGGCTTCCCAGGCAATCAAGAAGCTGAGCAGCAGGTAATGACATGCTGCTTGGCTTCCTGATTTCCCAGGAAGCCGGCTCCATGCTAGCGGAAGTATCGGTATCAGCGGGTACCAAAAGATAAATATCAGTACTCGTATTCAATACCGAAAAACCGGTATCGGTGCATCCCTAATTATTATACAGGATTTATATAGCGCCAACAGTTTGCGCAGCGCTTTACAATATAGGGAAGACATTACAGTCACAATACAATTCAAGACAAGATGGTAAGGAGGGCCCTGCCCGTGAGGGCTTACAATCTAAAAGGGAGGGACAAGTGATACATGAGGAGGTAGCTGTGTTGGGATGAATTGTTTGAGAAAGTGATGGTTCAGTGGTTAGTTTGAGGTGGGATAGGCTTCCCTGAAGAGCAGTCAGAGTGGGCGATAGATGGACAGGTTGGGGTAAGGCATTCCAGAGGATGGGAGAGAGAGAGAGAGAGACTCTACAGAAGTCCTGGAGGTGAGCATGGGAGGAGTTGACAGGGGAGCTAGAGAGCAGAAGGTCTTTGGAAGAGCGGAGGGGACAGTTAGGGTGATACTTTGAGACAAGGTTTGGGATATATCTGGGGGCAGAGTTGTGGATGGCTTTGTAAGTGGTTGTTAATATCTTGAATTTTGTCCTTTGGGAAGCCAATGCAGGGATTGGCAGAGAGGGGTTGCAGACACTGCGGCTGGTTAGGTGAATGAGTCTAGCAGCAGCATTCATGATAGACAGAAGGAGGGATAGCCTGTGTAGAGGTAAGCTAATGAGGAGGGAGTTGCAATAGTCAAGACAAGAGATAATGAGTGGATGAGTAATTTTGCGGTTTCTTTGGTGAGGAAGGATCATATTTTGGAGATGTGACGAGGGTGAAGACGGCAGGATTTGGATAGCGATTGGATGTGGGGCAGAAAGGTGAGGTTCGAGTCAAGTGAGGTTCCTAGCACCTTGGTGAGGTTCCTAGCACCTTGGCATGGGGGAAGGAATTCTTTATTATATAAAAATTGTACGCAAGTGGTGTTTGAAGCCTTTAAAACCCCAATTTGTGGTCTTATTTTACTGTATATGCTGTGCAGGTGTGGTGGCTATAGTCCTTAGTATCTATAGTGCTTCCCTTACTGTGGAACAGTCCAGCACTGAGATGTACTTGCACTGAAGCCTAGACACTGAAGTTAGACAGAAAGTTAGTAAACTTAAACTAGGAGGCTTAAACTAGGAGGCTTTTGACAGAAAACACAGCTGACAAAAAATGGACACATTCACAGAGAGGTCACATACCAGTCAGTCCCAACTAGGAATCAAATGGCCCTTTTAAGCACAGAGGGGAAATGGGGTTTTAATGAGAACAAGGTAGACCCCCAAAAATGCAGTAGGGCTGCAGATAACTATTTTAATAATCGATTAATTGCCCGATTATTTTTTCAATCAATTGGTTGTATTAAAAAAAAATATATATATATTTTCTCTCTCTCCAACCAACTAATCGGTAATGAGAATAGTTGACAACTATTCTCATAATCGATTTAATTGATTAGTTGTTGCAGCCCTAAAATGCAGTCATTGGCTATTTAGCATCTGGGATTTTCCCCAACAAATATTACAAAGCATGTAATTAGTACACACAGCACCCTCACCTTCTGAATAGGTTTAACTTCAAAGCCACCTAGTAGGAGAGAGTTTGGACCCGAATAGCTATCATGAGCAGAATGTTTCTCTTCCACCGTTGCACCTTCTTTCTGTTCTTCTGGGACATTACTCTTTTGTTTGTCTTTAGGAATTTTCTTCTTGCGCTGTTTTTTCACCTTTAATTCCGCAGTATCTTCATCTTCTTTCGTCTCAGTATCACTTGTGGATTTTTTCACCTCAGCTGCTGTGTTTTCAGGCAGACTTTTCTTTCGCTTTTTCGCTTTCCTCTTTATTTCAGGTTCCTCCTCCTGGTCCCTGATCTCGGAATTATCTTCTTCCCCTTCATTGCTTGACTTAACACCTTCCTTCACTCCTTTCTCCTTATCCTGAATCTTTGATTGGCGATCCTTGGCTTGTTGGTGCAGCTTCGCCAGCAAAGCTTTGGATCGATCTTCAGATGAATCCACCTCATCTCCAAGGTACCTGCAGTTTGACAATATATTATATATATTTGGGTACAGAAAACAATTATCCAACAATAAAATGCTGCTGGAATACTTTGTGTGTATGTGTGTAATATATAATGTCAAAAAAGACAAAAACGCAGTATTGCAGTGTGCAATGATACCTTTTTTATTGGACTAACAAAATATATAAAAGACAAGCTTTCGAGAGTGAACCTCTCTTCTTCAGGTCAGAAGCAATACTGATTAACATGACAGTTTGTCAGTTTAGACAGGAGAAAGCTTTAGACTGGAGTTCAGCTTTCTTCTGTCTAAACTGACAAACTGTCATGTTGATCAGTATTGCTTCTGACCTGAAGAAGAGAGGTTCACTCTCGAAAGCTTGTCTTTTATATATTTTGTTAGTCCAAATGAAACGCAAAAATTATAATAAGGAATACAATGACAAACTAATAATATTTCAATAGCCTTTGCAACAAATGGTAGACAACACAGAGCCCACGCAAACTGAACCTAAAAGCTTGATCAGTATAGTCTAGCTGACAAAACAGTATATCAAATATGTCTACAGGCACATAAAACAGTGAGCAGAACATATGACCACCACACAATCATTCTGTAGAACACTGGACTCATCTTGAAAGAAAAAAGGTGATCAGTTCCCTGCCAGAGATCAGTCCATCAGTGGGTGACCCATTAACATACCATCATGTCTGGGTGAAGTGATTATAATGTTATGTCTGGGGATACCGTAAAACCTTGGTACCCAAAAGTGGGTCACGGCCCTGTGTTCAGTGGGTCACCGCATGCCTTCCACTTTTCTAGATGAGAGGCTCCTCAGCCTCCCCCTAGCCCAGCACTGTCAGTTCTCATGCCAAGCAGCCTTTAAAAATATGCTGCATGTTGCCGAGTGTCAGCTTGAGATGGGATGGGGCTGTGGCTGCGAGGGAGCTCCATCCATATGTGCATTGCTTACAGCTCCCTCACGTGTCCTATAGAGGTGCCTGGACCAGAGTGACATCACCTTCTTGCTCTCGACACCTCTACAGGGCGCACAAGGGAGCTTTATAAGCATTGCACATATGGATGGAGCTCTGTCACAGCACAGCAGCCCAGCACTGGACCCCAGGCTGAGGATCCACTCCAGTTCTCGTAAGGTAAGGAGACTGGGTGGATCTTAAAAAGATTTTTGGAGTGTGTGTGACTGTGTCTGTGGTTGTGTATGTATGTCAGTGTTTTTGAGGGCCCATTCACACTAGTACAGTGCATTAATCACATAGTACCATGCGATTACTGCACTGTACCACGCAATCGCACCTACTGTGCATTCTGGTGTGGGAGGTGTGTTGCATTGTCATTCATTTGAATTGTACCCCAAACGCACCTCCCGCCCACAGTTCGTGCGCGCGGTACCCTGATGCCGTGCGTTCCATTGCAGCGCAACTTGGGTCCCGACTTAAAGAACAAGCACAAATGTGGGTCCTGAGGTTACACAGGTTGAGAACCACTGCCGTAAAGCAAACCAATTGTTACTAATAACACAATAAACTGTCATGAAGTGTTGTTAGTGGAGCATAGTTGAATAGTTACAAATCTCCAAAGGGCATCTAGAGCCCCCCAAAGCCTGCAATGATTTTCAAAAGGTTTTTGGATTTCCAGCCACTAAGGCGCATTTGCACTAAGGAGGGGTTTGCCATTGTACTGTGGTAAGTTTAACCTTATGCAAGTAAAAACTAAAGGAAATCTTTCCTAAGAGAAATAAAGTGGGTGACATAGCTGACTTTCTTCTGCAAATTCTAATTGTCTTCGTATTATCCCGATTCATTGGCTTTAAAAAGGAATAACTGACCCACAACAAGTATGCATGTCAGGAAAAAGTATAACCAAGTCTTTAAATATTTGAAGTCAATTATCAAAACTGCAATGAAACAAGAGGGGGCTCAGCAAGACAGCCAGGCAAGTAGCATTTCCAGAATGAGACGTTTACAAAGCAGACTTTGTTTCTCTGAAGAAAGGTTTACTTTAATATGAACCCCTATCCACAGAAGCATATACTCATATAGGGTAAACTAGGACTCATGGGGGGAATTTATGAAAACTGGAGCAGTTTCCCATAGTAACCAATCAGCTTCTCTCAAGTCAAGCTTTGAAAATGAGAGAGAGAAGCTGATTGGTTGCCATGAGCAACTGCTTGAGATTCTGCATACTCCAGTTTTCATAAATGTCCTCCACAGACTATGCAGGACTTTTGCTACCAGTCTGGGAGGAAGGGAAGTTAGTATGTGCTCCTGGGGTGGTCTGTTATTTAAAATTAAAAAAAAAAAGAACGTGTTCCAGTTAGTAAATGCTTATATAAGTTTGCCTCACTGTGTTCGTGATACTATATGTGTAATAAAGATGCTAGTGCGGATACAGGGAAGAAACACACATTACCTGTTAATGATAAACAGTGACATCCCGACTCCAGCACTGCATGTGATCGGTACTGTACACAGCACAGTCCAATCACGTGTCCTCCCATGTAGTGTCGCACAGCAATGACATCAAAACACATGGAGTGAACGCCCCGGCCAGCGCCATCTGCTGGCCGGAGTGTGTTTAGCAGCGCCTCTAGTAAAAGATTGCCGATTCATTGAACTGGGTGGAATAGAATGTAATTTATAGTACAGTGGGGGACATTTCTCACATCTGTCGCATAGTCAGGAGCAGCCAGACACCTTGAGACACATTTATAATAATTAGGAAGCTTCATTCATAAATTCCTCCCTTAGCTGCTCTCAAGTTGCACTGTGACAAACAATAATGGTCCCAATCACATTCACACGAAAAGTAGGTTTCGACCTCTCGTTTCCATTATTGTTAATTGCACTCCAAATCCAGCAAGCAAGATGTACATTTTGTGCAAACAGCTGCAGGAGTTTCTTTGCCACGTATGTTGTTCGTAGGGTGGCCCATTAAATTAAAGGGGTTCTAAACCCTCCGTTTTTTTTGCCTATATCTACTGCTAGCAAGCAGTAGATATAGGCAAGAAGTTTAAAAAAAAAAAAAAACACGCTTTAACTAGGTTAAAACTTACCTCGTTATTGCTGCGCGCTCCCGCGCCGACAATCAGGGACTGCTCGTACGGCCGCACATGTGCAGTTCCGATTCTCGGCCGGGAGACTAGCAAAGACGCAAGGTAAGTCTATGGACGCGTGCACCCGCATGCAGACACCGCTGGATCGGAGGGACAGAGCAGTCAGCGCTGGATCGAAGAGCCGCCGCACCGCTGGAGGGACAGATGAAAACATCAGGAAAGAAGAAGAAGATCGGTATAAGAGACATCATTTAAGGTAATTGCTAACATTAACATGGGGGGGAGGGGACATTTTTTTTTTCTTTTATGTCACTTTAAATTCGCCTTCTCCAACTCGAGCGATATAACCCTTAGGCTGCGTTCACACCTGACCGTTTTGTAGCGCGTCCTACGCTCGACGAACGCTCTACAAACCCCCCCCCCCCAGCTACAACCTTTGTTATCACTTACCTCTTCTTTTAGATTGTAAGCTCTTACGAGCAAGGTCCTCTTAAACCCCATGTCTTGAATGGGCTGTCTCTCTATATATTGTGAAGAGCTGTGCAACCTGTTGGTGCGATATAACTCCTGTATAATAATAATACAAATAAAAAAAGTTGCATAGAATCGGCTGACAGACAGCCTGATTTGCATGTGCAAATCGCTAATTTACTTAAATGTCCCTCAGTGTGTATAGTGGGATAGACTTCCTGGTTTCCATTTAATATAATTATCAGATGGAATTATTGCACCCTATTTTCTCCTTAAAGTGACACTAAACTCAGGAGTTAAATCTTAAAAATACATTCAAGTACCTCTACTATTAACAAAAATTTATCTTTTTTGTGTATCACTCAGTTGTAGATCATCACATCATCTCTGAATTGGTGCTGACATTGTCCTTCCTTCTGGAGGGTGGCTACTTTTGTTCCCCATGGTCCCTGTGTCTTGTAAAGTAGTCACCGCTCTGGCCTTTTGGCTAAGATCAAGTGTAGTATCTGTTCTTATCAGTTGTTGGAGGGGAGAGGATGTTGCCACCCGATGGGAGAACATTCTAGTACCCTCTGACGTAATGGTGGGTGTCGGAGGACGGTTCGGTCCACTGCTGGTTGCGTCAGGCCCTGATGATCGGGTAGACCCCAGACAGTGGGAGGACCCCCAAAGGCACTACCTCCTGATGTGAGCGGAGAAACACAAGGTCTGGCTGGAGGGTTGGGGGCGGCAGAAGCCCGTGGTGTTGTGCCCCCTGGGGGTGGCGTCCCAGGGGTGCTCAGAAAGTCACTTGGGTGTGGGACCCCACATGACTCACTGCAGCACTTGGTCACACACCACATTGCAATTTTCTGCACTTCGCCTCCAAGACAGGCCTTATGGCTAGTCTGGGGCAATATTTTTGCACTCCGTCCCCTAAGGCCTGTCAGAGTGGTGCACTGGCACTTTAGATTTATTTAAGCACTCTATCCACGATTGGCACTTTTTTATTTTACTATTTGACCCACAGATGCTGAAGGTGCAGGTTTCTTCTGGGCCCAGGGCTGGCATCAGGGGGGTACGGCCATCACTAATGTGAGGGGCCCACATGGCTAGGGGGGCCCGAGCTCCGACCAGCAATTTTTTAAACTATAAATTAATATATACAGGGAAGTTGGTACGGTCCCGGGCCCCCCTGTACAATTGGTACATTCCGGGTTTTTTCCCCCTCAAAGCGCTGAGCGAGGCATGCACTCATGTAGGAGAGGAGCACAACTGCTGGACTGGTAAGGTAAGTTTTTTTATTTTATTTAAAGCAGCTGCAGAGGGAGGGGGCTGTGCAGACACACATACACACACACACACACACACTGGTGGAAAAAATTAAAGGGGACAGCAGCCAGTGCCCAAGGTTGAATAGGGCCCGACGCTGGGGGTGGGTGGCCTTTGCCAGCATCGGGCCCCTATTCAGCCTTGGGCATCAGCTGCTGTACTCTTTAATTTAAAAAGTAGACTGGCCACCAGAGAGCCCGCACAGCCTCCTGAGTGACCTGCACCCGGGGGGTCACTAAGCCCAGCGTCTGGGGGGTCACTAAGCCCAGCGTCTGGGGGGTCACTAAGCCCAGCATCCGGGTAGAGCTGCAACAAAGATTCGATTTAGTCGATTAAAATGGTCGATCAAAAACGTTAACGTTTTCAATCGCCGATTATTCGGCTATCTATTACCTTGCCTGTTCGCGGCTCCACACTTAAGCCGCCACGCGCCCACCGCACACGCCGCGGTTCAGCCTCCAATCCCGGCGCTCCTTACATCTACCCGGGCCGGTGCGATCACTATGGCTGGGGACGAGCTGGCATCCAGGCTGAACCGTTCAGCAGAAGACATGGAGGCAATGTTCAGACAGTAAGTTTTTATTTCATATGATTAATAGTTTGGGGTATCGTCTGCAGTCCCATGGACTACAAGTGCCATTAAATCACACTTATACTCCATTAAGAACTACCAGTTCATCTGTCATGGCACAGACAGGACCAGTAGTTTTTTAATTCATAGATCCTGTCAAAGGATCTGTGAATGGATGATGCGGCTGTGCAGTTGGAGCCACAGACATTTGTACCAAACCGTCAGAGCCTGCGTGGAGAAGAACCCTACAATTCAGGTAAGTGGGGGAACGTGAGGGGGCGGGAGTTGGAGATGTGACCATGTTTCATGTTACACCTTAAAGTTCTAGCCGACCTGTGACAATGAGACTGTCACAGGTCGGCTCAGTAGATCGGGAAGTGAGCGAACACATACCGGCGTTCACCTCTCGATCCTGTCACGGCTCTCTGCCGTGACAGGGGAGGGGCTGGATTCCCCCCTCCCCGCTCCGATCTGCCAGCGCTGACTGGCGGAACGGACGGGGAAGGGGGCGGGTACAACTGGCTCTGCCTCTAGATAGGCAGAGCCACCTGTCAGTCACGCAGCTGGGCAGATCCCGGCACAATTGTCGGGATCCGCTTCAGCTGCGGCGTCTCAGTACACAGCGAGCTACGGCTCCCGGTATACTTAGCCTAGGGTGACGGGAGGACGCTAGTTTGTGTCCTCCCGTTACCCTAAGGAGAACTATGGGGAAAAGCCTTAACCCCATAGTTCTCCTTTTAAATATGGGTATGACGTGAAACATGGTATTAAAGGTAAACTTAGTCTTTAACTCATTTTTAAAGAGCCACTACAGTATGTTTAATGCATTTTAGAAATAAACGTGAACGAGATCAGACTAATGTCAATCTTACTGATAAATGTTAAATGATAAGAGCCCAGATCCAAATGCTTGCTGCTAAGGCTGGCCATATTAGAATTTCAGCTGATTCCCAACCTCCATGTGCGGGTACCTGATTTTGGGGAAGAGGCTGTGCAAGCCACATAATGGAGATATCAGAGGAACAGGATGGTAGGGTAAATGTGACCCATAATGAAAGTGGGGGTGGAAGGAAAGAGGTACAGAAAATGATAGGAGCACCTATAGTACACCAATCCTTTGAGTGCAAATACAGATTTAACCTTTGGAAATGTAGCATTTATTTTTGAATTGGGTGATTATAGCGGAATGATTGTTCTAAACCCCAGGCATTTACACACCCGCACTCCGAATTAAAGCTCAAATCCAGGTACACAACTAAATACTCTACACAAGTAAAATACAATTCAAATACAGGCAGCCAGAATGTGTTGTTGACCCCTAGTAGTCTATGGGTTGAGGCAACTGGCTGCGTACAGAACGGTGTGCTGAAAGCAGATGTTTGATGCCTTTCAAACTTTACACCTGAAAATCTCTGGACGGGGTGGGGGGAAGTGTAAAACACATAGCGGTCTATATATAAACAATTCACAGGGCTATTCACAAATATCTTATTTTGCAAATATCTGTGAACATTCGTTCTGTGCGAATAGAGGCAAAACCAACATTAATTTTCTTTCCAAGTTGAATGCAATCTAATATATTAACGTATTATGGCCATGAGATGCAGCTGAGGAGCATAGGAAATACTTATTTCCTATGCTCCTCAGCCCTATCTAGTAGCCATAAAGCAGTACTACATTACAGTCGACTTGAAAAGAAATATACAAAGAACATGCATGTTTTTGCCTCTATTCACACGGAACAAATGTTCACACAGATTCTCAGGACGAATGGCTCTGCGAATTGTTTATACATAGACCCAATAACTTCCCTTACTCATTTACCTAACTTATGGTTATAAGGCCTCATTCACACTGTAATCGGCCCGCACATACAGCTCCGTGCAGGGCCGTATCGAGCAGCTCCCGGGAAGGACAGGTGCTGCGTGTGATTAGTACCCAGCCCCCCGTTCTTCTCTATGGTACTACGCAGCTGTACGCCCCCTTACGCTCACCATAAGTGCAGGTCCGTAGGGGTGCGTGTTTTCCGGCTCGG